AAATTTTAATTTATTAAATAAATATATTCGAAGTGGCGAATAAATTCCCTCTATGGAATGGATGTGCACTTAGTTTTAAGGATATGCTTTTCCAACTTTTAGCTCATCCCTGAGATGTATTATCACAGAGAAGACAATCTGAACACCAAGTCAAAACATCAAAAAATTTGTATTCCTACTTACGAATGAATACAATATGTATATTTTTGCTTATTTTAATATACCTCATTCTATATTCCATCTCTTAATCCAAAGTAATATTTAGATTTTATTTGATATATCAAATTTTCCATGTGTTGTTTATGTATTGTTGTTTATGAAAGAGCTTCAACAGTAATTTACTTCATATGAGTTGTATGCCAACTATTACCCTAATAATATCTGCCTAAAACTGGTTTGAATTGACTTTAAGCTGCATGAACATTTCAGCAGCTCAACAGTTTGCCAAAGAGACTCCAAACATATATTTGCCTCGTGTAAACTGTTTACATGTAGTTCCAGCTGCTTATTTGTACAAAGTATCAAATTCGCAGCTTGAAACTGATATAAATTGATGCATCTCATTGTTGAATTCTTGAATTCTAGCTGAAAGTAAAGTAAAGTCTGCAGCTGCGAATAAGGTCACAGCTCGCCGGTAGCGCTCTTCTGCCTACTCAAAGGCTTGAACGACTGCCCTGCACCCGCACCACTGTGTAGCTGTTGCCGCCTTGATGAGTTTGTTAGTTCCCAAACATGTGTTGCCCCTACAAAGACTCGCATCGTCGTCGTCATCATCGTCATCATCATCATCATCATCATCAGGACACATAAAAGTGTAGCAAGTATATGGGTGTCTGGTGCACCTAGATCACATGCTGATGCTTAATGCGCAAAATGGCAAATACTTTGTCAAGGCGAGCACAACAGACCGAGGTAGCCTCAACGATACCCTGGATAAGATACCCTGTAAACACAGCTCAGTAGTTGATATACATATATACGAAAAATGTAAATGGTTGTCGAGCATATAAAAATAAATGAATACGAATATACAAAAGTATATATGTGTATACATATATCCAGAGACTATAACTTTGCATCCGTATATCACATATGTATGTATCTGTGTATTTGTGTATCTGTGTATCTGTGCATGCACTTCCTCAACTTGGTTGAGCTCATAGCCCACAGTCTGCCACACGGGGTATACAAAAGCAACTAAGAAATGAGAGCACAAAAATTCAGCTGTTGACGTTAATGTGGCAAGCGCTGTGCAAAAAAGCATATTGCAAAAAAGTCGACTTTACATATCTACAAACATACCTATATATGTGTATTTGTAGCTACATATTTACACATACTTACATACAATAACCAAGTTACAAAATGTCAAACGGATGCCACTGACTGCGGAACACTCGTTCAAGTATTGCCTCAACGCACAGACGGTTCTAGAGGAACACTTAATGTTATGCGAATGTTAAGAGAATGTTAGAAAATTCGGGAAAATAAAATGTGGGCATTGTATTTTTATGAAAAGGCATTAACAGGCAGAAGGAGACGTGGCAGACCTCATAAAGTATAAAGTATAAAGTCGAACTGAGTCAAATTAGCATCCATTCGTTTTCCCACTGATTTAGTGTCACTATTTTCTGTAATATCAATGAAACAGCCTTTATTACATAGAACTGATATTAAATATAATTTTGACAATGTGGTCATTCTGTCACCCGTCAATCTCCCTAGATACAAATTTTCTCAACTCTCATATTAGAAAAATCAATAACTCCAAGTGAAATTTACTGTTTAATACACTTTAAGGACTAAGTGCAGTAAGCAATAAATTTCACTTTCGACAAAAACTTGCCATCATCATCTCTCCATATGCAACTTAAACAAAATCTTAAATATAAATTCAATATCATTTATTTTATGCTTCATTTCATTTGCTTATTTCTAGTTTCAAGTTTAAATTTGCATCGAACGAGTATTTCGGAAACTAATATACTCTGTTTACATCGTATATACATACATACGCGTGCAGATATCAGTTTTTTGGTTGCTTTGTGTGAAAATGCTTTGAAGGTCAATTCGCAGGCGAGTCAAGGAATGTGTGCAACACGAGGAAGTGACGTCACAGCCAACTTAGAACAAAATGGAAATGGCCCGGACAGACAGCTGTTTGGCCCACATCCTTGGGCACCGCCTCGCCAGCGTCGCTAATGCAATTTGTCATGAATTGTATATGTCGGCCTGGTCGTCGTATAATGGCATAGTTAATTGCAGAACATTTGCCAGAGGAGGAGGAACCCGTTGGCCCACTGCCTCGCTCCCCCGCCTCGAATATGAATCTGGCGGCGGACTCGGCATGTGATATATGTATATTACTCTGGCTGCCACTGTTTGCACAGGTGCGGCGGGGTATATATTTTGGCAAATATCTGAATAGAGCCGTAGTCGGTTGCGGCTCCCTGAATACCGTGCAGTATTTCATATGTATGTGTATACGCATATAGTAGTCTCCAAGCTAAGCACAGCAATGCGAAAATAATTTATTGGAATATAAGGTATAGCTAGGTAAATTTGTAATAAATCACGGATAAGCGTAAAGTCCGTCCGTACACTTCAGAAGGCATATACCCTAGCTTAGCTCTCGGTCCCATTGCTCTGCTTTTTGCCAATTTCTGTCGCTGGAACTGGGCCAAGTAATTTTATGAATTTATGTGAAACGCCGTCAAATTAAAGTTCTGCGGCTGCCTGCATTCATCTCGTCGCTGGATGCTGCGCACTTTCATAATAGTTTTTTTAATTTTTTATAATCTCAATTTGGTACAGCTATGTGCATACATCAGTCGACCAATTTTTTATGGCAAGTTTTAGTTTTAATAAAATGAACTTTAGTGCGAGCAAATGTTTTCTATGCAAGCTTTTCAGTGCAAGTGAGCTGACTTAACTAGCTGTGATTGTTATCAGAGCTTTTGTTTAACCAACAGTTAAGATATTCTGCTGAATGTTTGCACTGATGATACACAGTTGCATAGGGAGAGATTAATGATTCTCTGAAACCTAATATCAATTAACAATTTGGGATATGTCTTATCATTTTATTTTAATCATTAATTTGAATCATTTGATTTGATCGAAATCATGTAAGAGTAGCTCTTAAAATTGGATGTGTAAGAGCGGAATTGTCACTCTCCCTTATGCTGCCTTTCCCTATGTGCGCTCCCTTTTCCTACAGCTGATCTATTAATGGATAAAGACATTGTTAAATTGAATCTCAAGGCAGTAGGATATTCTTCTGCTATCTATAAGTCCCAATATCAGAGGAAGTAAGAACCAAGTTGCAGCCCTGTCCAGTATTCCTGCTGTAAGCATATATTTATATATAGTGGACATTATTAACTATATAAAAGGCTTAAAGCTCTGGGTTAACAATTATTAATTATGTAATTACGGCATTGTACATATCATTGCATATGTATGCCCTTGCGTATTGAACTGATTCGTATGTAATTTGTCCAAATGAAATGTGAAGTGCATTAAGTAGTATGTCACACTCGATAACGGGAATTCCCTAGAGCCTATGTAGTTTAATGCGTCTGTGACAAGAATACTTATTTACTATCTCATTTGTCGTCGGCCTTCAGGGAAATCGCCTATGAATTTACACATTAAATGTTATGATTTTTTTGGTGTATACGACAGATTTTTATACCCTGAACCCATTTTCAATGGGAAATCAGGGTATAATGGTTTTGTTGAAATGTATGTAACAGGCAGAAGGAGGCGTGGCAGACCCCACAAAGTATATATATTCTTGATCAGGGCGACGAGCTGAGTTGATTTGGCCCTGTCCGTCTGTCTGTCCGTCTGTCCGTCTCGTCCGTCCGTCCGTCTGTCCGTCTGTCCGTCTGTCCGTATGTATGAACGCGTCGATTTCAGAAGATATAAGAGCTAGAGACTTCAAATTTTTTTTAAAATGTTCGTAATTACAGCGCGCATATCAAGTTTATCATTAAAAATCGATAACTCATCCCGATCTTTTTTTATCGATAAAAAACCTTATCGAAAACCAGTTATAAAATTATATCTTCTACACCTTTATTGCTAGAGTCTCCAAAATTTTAATGTATGCCTATATGCAATTTATACAATTTCGGTTTTTGTTAAAATTTACCCCCCACCCTTAAATTCACCCCCTCACCCACACTTTTGTAAAAAGCGTATTTCAAATACTAGAGACTTGTGCTTTGGCAATTACATGCATATCCATGTCATAATCATAATCTGAAAGTTTCATGAAGATCGTACGTCCACAAAAAAGTTATTAAGCAATTAAGTTCTCATAGTAAGCGCTCACTGCCGCCCATGCGTGTTTATGCTTGTGTGTGTATATGTATGTAATTGTTTGTGTATGTGTGTGTGTGTGTATGTTTGTATGTATGTGTGTATGTATGCCTGTGTGTGCGTGCGTGCGTGTGTGTGTGTGTGTGTGTGTGCGTGTTTCTTGTGTAAGCTGAAAGACGCGAAAAATTATTGAAATAGCTATTACTCCAAGGGTTCAGGGGATCTCGTAGTCGAGTAGTCTCGACTAGAGCTTTCTTACTTGTTATTTCGACTTGTTTTACATTCTGCACAGCCTTAAGCACTGATTGATGACTGTGTTGGTGAGTTTGAGTTGAAACAAGCGTTAGAGTAGAGTGGATTGATGAGTTATGATAATAAGTTGACTGACGATTAGGGAGTTAGGGAGTTAGCGAGTTGAGGAGTGGGGACAGAAAGAATAGATGGTAGGCGAAGTTTGTTGTAGGAATTAAATATGAAACGAGATGAATGATGAATGAAAATGAAAATTAAATGAAATGAATTAAGACTCGCGAAATATATGGCTAATGAATATGAATGTTGACTAACTTGACTTTCTTATGGATCCGGTTGATTGTGTAATTATGCTATGCTTGATAAGGAGTCCTCTCGCATTCTCAATATTGTAAATTGCCATAAAAACACTTTAAATATATAGGTCGAGGTGGTTTTAATGCCTGAGTAGAGGGATGAGGCGCAAGCTGCAGCTATAGCCAAGTATCGTAGTGCTTGCACAATTGTATTAAACTTACTACAGTAGTAAATAGTATGTAACGGTATATTACTCTTAGAGCAGTTACAAATGCTCACGGAACATCTTATGTCTGTACGAGCGAGGCTTGATTACCCACTGGCAGGGCAGGCTGGGCAGAGCTGGGCTGAGCTGGGCAGGCTGGGCAGAGCTGGGTAGGCAGACGTTACGAGAGCAGTTGAGCAGCTGAGCAAGCTGAGCGCATTGTAATCTTGGCGAGCTTAGGAGAAGGAATGCCGTGGCATGTGCAAGTCCACACGGCATCGCGCACACTGCCAGCTGCACTTGAAGCCTTGCGCTTTTAATGCACTTCCTGTACACGCGCGTCCTCGTTTATGTGTTGCCGGCGCACAAAAGGTAATGTGAGGCTCGGCGTGCCACAAATGCCGCACAAAAGCAAACAGGCGGCGAGGGACTACTGCGAGGGCGACTGCGACTGCTGCCAGGGTGAGGTTGCTGGTTCCTGCTTGCTGCTTGCTGCTTGCTGGGGGCTCAGACAGGAAGGCGAGCTCATTTCGTGTCACAGATTCATGTTTATTTAGCGCTTAAAGTGCTGCTCCTCCTCCTCCTGGTCGCATCTTCGTGTCCTCGCTCCCACGGCAATGCATGTGTCGTCGACTCCAGCATTCTTTGCGAATATCTGAAACGTGCAATATGCAGTCGCAGGCATTGACTCGAATGGCTCCAACATCAACTGCGTACCTGCAATATGTTACTCTAATGCTCGGCAAATGCAAATGCAAATATACCCACCTATCTGCATAAGCATTCAGATGTCTCATCCCACCTCCCAGCACTCCCCACCCGCTCCTTACCCATCCCCTCGAGCTCCGCAATCCGCTTTATCTATGTAGCGCGCATTTGTCAAATGCCAAAAAAATTACGAGCTTAAAGTCAGAAGCCAATTGCAATTTGATATTTGGCACAAATAAATTGCAGCTATTTAACTTGAAAGTGGGGCTTACTCTATTCTTTTTTGCATATTTCTCCTCTGCAGTGCAGCCTGAGGTACTATAGCGTTGCAGCTGCTTAGTTTAGATCTTTTACGATACATTACATGTTTAGCAGCAGAGCAACAAGCCACTCTGAATAAATCCCGTATACAAGTTTCCGTTTAATTTCATTTTTGTTTAATGGAAATCAGTGCCAAGCCTGAGACAAGTTTGAAGTTTAAAGTCAAGCTGGACAAAGGTTTAGAAAATTAAGAAAGCTCTAGCTCTAGTCGGACATCCCCTGAGCTTCGTGTTCATAAATTCACAATAAAATAAAAACTTAAAGAAAGAAAAACTTTACATCGGCGGGCTAGGCATTGCGTGAGTAATTCTAACTTGAAATAAATCCGCTCTACCGCACTACCGCACTGCTAGAGCGCCACGCTCTAATAACAATTGTGATTCCTATAATGTGCTGGAATGCACGAATGTACATACATATGATGTATGTATGTATGTATATCCAGGTAGAATTTATGCACACGCATAGGAAAATTGCTTTGCGTTGCTCATCTTTATTCGCACGGGCACTGCTAACGGAATTTATGAAACGTTCAGCATATAATCTACATATTCTGTTTAATAGTCATTTTTGAAGAAAATGTTAGCTCATTTACAATTAGCTGTAATTGCACCTGACCTCTAAAATTTAACAAAACTCGAAAATATACAAAATTCATGGAATTCTAAATGAAAAATTTGCACACTCCAGCTTCTATTTTCAAAACCTTGAGCTCTAGCTTAAAGATCAACATTTTATAATTTGATTGATAAAATAACAAAAAACAGGAATACCTAAAATAGAGAACTATAAAACAGAAGAAATTGCTGTCTATGCCAGCCAATAATTATGAATATTAATTAGTTATTTAGCATATCAGCATTTAGCCTTATAAAGCACATATATTCAAGAGTAGCGTTTTGAGCTAATCAGATTTAACTATGCGTAATCGATTTAACTGTCTCTCATGTCTGCATAACTGTATATCTCTCCGTCTGTCTCTTCGTGTGTCTCTCCGACTGTCTGACTAACAAAGTAAGGGACGAACAACAACTACAGAAGATCATTTATGATGTCTAAATGTATGCAGCAGTGTTCGTTTGGTATTTGTATTTGGGTAAAACGAAGTTAGAGTGCTCGCAGCAGCAGAGAGGGTTCCCATTGGTCACTTAAAGCTCGACTGCAACGACCCCTACCTGGCATCGGGCTCAACAGTTGAACCCGAGTTAATTGCTGAGTGAAAGTCGCCCTATATAAAGGGCAACACCTGCAGCATTTCTTCAGTCGCCCAGGCCTGGTGGGGTGGTCAGTCGTAAAGTGAAGTGAAGTGAAATGAAGTGAGTGATCGTTCAGCTAAGCATTAATGACTTTGAGATAATACTGAGAGGAAATACGTAAAGAAATTACTTAAAGGAAATGCTAAGAGGAAATACTTAGAGGGATTATTTAGAGAAAAAAACTTAGAGGGAATACTTAAAGGAAATACTTAGGTGATACTTAAAATACTTGAAAGAAATAATTGAGGAAATTCTTATATAGGAGATACAACTTTATAGCTAATTTTGACTGAACTTTTTAAAAGCTCTACAAAAATTATTTAAACTATTTAACATACATTATATAAATGATATTAGTATTCAATTGCAATGAAAAGATTTTCATTTAGTTTTACATCAATATCTGTTTATCATCTCATTATTTATCTGATTCTCCGTAATTTAGTTCAATGGCTGAACGCAATTAGGTCGATCGATAGAATGATTGATAGTATCGGGGGTTGAAACTATCGCTGGCTATGCAGCTCTTATCCCCATGCCAATCAAGCTCTTGTGGAAATAATTTCAGTCCATCTTTCCGCAGTTTAAGGAATCTGTCAAACTGATATTTCCCACATTCACACAGTCCTCCGCGTAAATTGATTTCTTGGAAAGACCTATTCCATTCTATTACTCCATTTGGGCTAGCTTGACTCTACTGAAAGCCAAGCCATATATGCTACTTGGAGATGTGTGTGCATAGGTGATAATTGTTTCATAGCTGATGCCAATTTGTGCGCCATAATTTTCCATTAATTAATTTGGCACAAAGCGGAAACTTCTCGCATAGTTGAAAGTCGTCGGGCCGTAGGATAAGCGCCCCAGTCGTTAGACTTTTCGTGGGTCTGGATGGCGGACGAGAGCCGAGGGTGTTAGGCGGCTGGCTGCAAACAATTGGACGACTTGTCTTGAACTTGGCTGGCTGTCGAAAAGTTTCCATTGTTAATCAAGTTTGCTTTGCTTTGGGGGCAAGATTTTCACGCAAATTAACATTCGCATAACTGACCCGCCAATAAGCCAAGTTTCCAGCGCCGCCCTCAGTTGGGTCGCTCGCCCGGGCCATTTCGGAAATAATTAATATTTTTTCTGTGAAAGCAAAAGTTTCGGCCATGCAAAATGCAAGCTCAGCATCTGGCCGACCAGCATTTGGATGAAAACAAAACTGAGTAGGAAAAGGAATGCTCTCTACTTAGCACCGAGGCGGTGCCAGCCGCAAATGTGTGTGCTGCTGGTAAATCAATAGACCAAGAGACCACAGCACTCGCTCGCTCTCCCTGCCTCTCCCTCTCTCTCCCTCTTTCTCTCCCTGTCAGTGAATATTGACATTTACGTGTACATTTAGTCGGATGCAAGCGCCACAAACTAAATTTCCAGTGCTAGCCGAAAGAAAGGATACGCCGCGGCGTCTCTCGAAAAAAAAAAAAAAAACTCAAACGAAAGCTAAATGTCAGCGCAACTTGCGGCGCACAAATTGCATTTTATATTTACAAATGCACGTGGAAGTAACAAAGAAGGCGGTCCCGAAAGAGCGCCTTTACACGTATTCAAAACTTGATATATATTTTGTATATATAAGTATATATGTATGTATGTACATAGTATATAAAGAGTAAATGGGGCCAAGTGTAAGTTACCATTTCAGTGTTAGTGTATGCTGCAGAACAGGAACCTTGGGACGTACAAGCCACGTTGCTGACTGTGTGTGTGTGTGTGTGTGTGAGTGAGTGTGTGTTGGGGCCCGGGCGAAGGACACCGCACAGTGCAAAGCCAGAGGGTGAAGAGCAGTCAGTGGTAGTGGGGTTAGGGAGGGGGAGCAGGTCTGTCTGTCATTGACGTAAAACTCGGCATGAGCAACATTATTTTGTTACCGACTCAGCTTAAGGACATGAAAACACATGTTGTTCAACACATTGAAGCAAAGCGCAAAATGTTTCGTTCTTTAAGGGCAAAACTCGCATAAATATTTAATACAGATGACTTGACACCCACACTCGCACACACGCAGACGGTGTGTGTGTCTGTGTGTATGTGTGTGCGTGCTCAACGTCTCAATTGCAGCAGCACTCACTGTGGGGAATTAAACGTTACCGCAAAAAGGGTAATCCACAGCAGTCAGCCCCATGTTGCTTGGACCACAGACCGCATGCTTGAGTCGGCCAAGTGTTTCGGATAAATAAATAATATCAACTGACTTATAATATCATCCTTTGATGTGCTAGTAAAAACGCCCAACCAGCCGGGCCTACTAACGTGGCCAGGTGTGTTGGAGAAGCAGGTTACATCGCCTTCTGGACGGTGAAAGATTTTATGAAATATTAAAAGTTTCATTTGGCATATTTTGTACTATAATTTCCGCTATCGGGCGAGTAGTGAAAATCCATTAACTATTAATAGACGGTTACATATATACTCTAAAGCACGGAGCTTTGATTGCAGGAACAACTGAAAATCTATTCAACGACTTCATGATTCTCGGCCATTACATCGGTTCAAAAACTATTGAATTCCGTCAAGAGTTTATATTTTTGAACTTTTCACATCAGCGTTACAGAATTTTAACGTTTCTAGATCCATCGGCGCATACCACCTGGAAAATTGTGACTTAAACTATAAAACTGCGGAATTTACTGTGCTCTCTGTGGAAGATCTTTAACAATATCCAACGCTACTAAGGACCGTCTATATATGCAGTAAACATTGTCATATATTTACTTACTATATATTTTAAATGTAGATTAGTCCTTCAGTCTAAAAATTGAAGAATGTCATCAAAAAGTATTCCAAATCTGTTGAACTTTGTATTTATTCAATTAAAACGATAGAATATCTGTAAATCAAACTTGAACTATTACGAAATACAAACGAAATATGTACATATGTACATATATTTTATTTCATTATTTTCGTTGATTTGAAATTTCAGAACAGAAATTCTGGGATTGTATTGAGATGTTCGGACACCTATGGTCAAAATTAAATTAAATTTGCATCTGCAAAGCAAATTTACATACGTTTGTTAGGGTGTTTCATCTCCGCCAAGACAATATAATGGTTTTTCCGTTCTATACAGATCAACTTTAACCGGAATACTAAATTAACAGTAAAATGTAAACGTGCGAAAGTGCTGAAACTTGTAAAACAGCTAAGAGTAAATCAAATAAAAAGTGCGAATTGCTTTTAACCACCGTTCATTTGTTTCTCTGTCCTAATTCCCGAGAACCGGAATACATAAACGGTTTCAATAAAACGTAAAGAATATTCATTATATTCCACTTAAAAGGTTGATTTCTGGTAAGCTGCTATGATTATTTTGGTTAAATTTGGAAAATGTTTTTCGCGATGAATTCATTTGAATTTTTCACTTCTAGGAAATTCCTTATTATTTTTGTAATATTGCATATGCATGATTAGGTTTTTAGAATAGTTATTTTCTGAGACTAGATAGGTGGTCAAATAAAATGCAGATTGCTGAATTCGGAAAAATAAAACTTTTTCGCGAAGTGAAAAGGGTATATTCGGGAATTGTATATTTTTCGGTCCGTCTGTGTGTGACTGTAGCATACATACATATGAATTTGGTCATATTGCATATCGATAAACAAAATAAATTGAGTATTTACTACGGGAGTAGAAAATCGAAAATTCATAAATATTGTATTTTTAATTTTATTTGTCTTAAAGGGCCTTTTAAATAGTAGTTAAGAGGTGGTGTTTAGATGTGTTCCGGGTATCTACTACTCTAACCCTTCCGATTAGAGTACTCTTACTTAATTTATATTTAATACACAGTCAAAATATGTCTTTAAGTTCTTACTTTAAATTTTAATAAAATGAAACTTAAAACACTTTCAATACAAACTGTGATTTGGATTCTTCACCCGTATAGCTAGGGAGTGTGGCCAGCATGTGAGCCTAAAAGCAGGCAACAGCTATTAAGCAGAGTTCTTTAAAATCGCGCAGAGGCAAACTCATTGAATCGATTGGTAAATAATATGAATATTTGTTTGTTGAAATAGAATAAACAGATTATTTGCGTGGGCTTTGTTTGCAATACTTTTCTGTTTGTATTTGCGTGTCCATAACTGAAATAGGTTGGAGTTATCTCAATTTTTTTTTTCGTTCTGGTTCGTCTTGGCAATATTTGCCGGAGGCTGCTGAAAGGAATTTGTGAATCACTACTGCCGCAGTAAGATATTCGGAGCCGGGTAGGAAAATATGTCCGGCCAAATGCTTCGCTCGCATACTTAATTCGTAACCATTAGCAATGGGATAGCAAAATTTGGAAAATATTTGCACTAGCCCCATGTCAAAGGCAGGCGGCCAGAAATGCGAGCTCGGCCAAAGAATGTGCCGTAGACAAATTGCTCGAATTGAACGACGCAAAGGCAAACAATGCTGTGCTCTGTGCTCTCTGCTCTCTGCTCATGAGACTTGCTTTGAGACTCCACTGGCTGCTTTGGACGTTATCTGCGTGCAGAGTTTGCGTTTGGTTGACAAAAAGCAGCCGTGCCGTGCTGCACGGCCAGCCACAAATTCCCCGAAAAGCCTCGCACAGTTGTTTACCCTCAGCCATTGGCTCGAGCTCTCCTGAGGGCCTTTTGCGTGGCACGAAGCTAATATTAACAAATAATTTCGTCGCTGTACCTGGGCTGAGTCGGCACTTTTTGCTGCCAATTAAATGGCAGTTTCAGCTGACGCTCGATGCCTGCAATGAGCCCAATTAAAGGCCAGAATCCCAGCCAGCCTGCTCTGACAATTGGAACTAAACTAAAGCAGCAGCAACAACAGCAACTACAACGACTTTTACTGGTTACCGAAACTCTTGCCGGATACCTAATTATAGCCAGCTGCAAATGGCTAATTCGCTCCCCTCCTATTTTTAGCCAGCGATTCAAATAGCTAAAGGCGTCGTCGCGACATTTGCGCATCATATTCCAAGCCGAGTTGGGGGCACACATGTTAATTAAGCCCAAGCTATAATTGAGCATTGCAGCAGCACTTGCTAACCGAAATCTCACGGAACATTCAGTCGGAGCCAGCCCCACATTTAACTTTTGCTATTTTTTCAGGTTACTCTCAGATTTACGATTAGCTGACTCAGTCTTTACCTTCATGCATAAAAGTTTTTAATCAAGAAAATATCTGAAATTACTTAAACTACAATCAGATACGATTAAATCTTAGGTTTGCCATCAAAATATAAAATATTAATTATTTCAAATTGTTTTATAAATAAAATATTAAATGAATTTATGCTTGCAGAGTAAGCATGCTTCAGTCGATCATGCCCGCCTTTTGAGTGAATCGATGCAAGTTTCGAGAGTGTAAGTTTCGTAACTTTAAACTTTCAGTATCAGTTGTTTCACCTGGGATAGTTTGTTGAGTCTGTCATGGATCTGAGTGAAAAAATGAAAAGAAAACTAACAGTATATTTATTCAGCTTCTGCAAACTTTATTGACCTCACTTCACTGGTGTCGGAATCAAAACTTGTATGTGTCACTTACATATATATAGTAAAAAATGTACTGATACACACATATTTATTACCGTTAAGGAAATATAAATTATAAATTCTAATACGACTATTTGAATATAAAATCAATTTCCGATCATTCTAATATATTCTATATATTATTGCATATTCGAATAAGGTTACAAAAATATATTTTGCTAACATATTAGTTAAATGAAATAAATGGAGTTCTCATATTAGTATTTATATTAATAATAATCCTTGATTGAGTCTTTGTAAAAGATTTTAGATTATGATTCAGATGACCTTGAAATAGAAACAAATTCGTATCCTATAAAATATATTTATATCCTATAATCCTATAATACATTTATAATTTACTCGTATTAAGTCTACATATATTATTTATAATAATACTTTTCTAACAACAATTTTTGTATTAATAATAATTCATCAAAAATTTCAAAATAACTGTGGGTCCACAATAAAATTTGATAAGAAAGTTGATAATTTTGTAGCCAGCCTAAATATTAAATGACATTAATATACTTAAAAGTGTTTTCATGTTTATAACGGTCATATAATACATTTGCACACACACGAACACACATACACACATATATATATATATGATTTAAAATTTCGAAACACACATTTTTATTTGTGTGTTACAATACATGTATACACATATGTGTATATATATATATATATATATTATTATCTAAGTATCTAATACAACAGCTCAAATAAAAGTGATAAATGGCCAAAACGTGACCTGGCATTTGTAAGGGCTGTTTGGCCACTTTGGATGTATTTGGCTCAACAGCAGCTGGGTCTTCACTTTAAACTATGTCCGACTTAAGAGAGAGGGACAGACAGATAGGGAGAGTGAGACAGACCGTGAGGACTTCAATTGAGCTCATGCGAGCGTCTGTTAACACACCAGGACAGTTTTCATTTTAAAACTTGCTGCGCTACATTAAGAGATTTTTGTTATAATCTTGAAAATAATATATATACATATGTGTGTGTATATATGTATACTGTTACACTACTACTGTATATCAGAAAATCATTAATCATTTGCCTAATACGCCATAGACTATGACAAATAAATTAACTTTAATTTTAAGCTCGGCTTAGCGTGATAATAAAAAACTAGTTTACTTGGGTAAACAAACTTAATTTGATAAAGTTAATATTGATTGAAAAAGAAAAATATGGATTTTAAATAAAGAAATTAATAATGAAACCAAAAGCGATTCCTTTAGAAAGAATTTCTACAACTATATATATTTTAAAATTCATTTTTTACGAGTCTGATAAATTTATAAATTTACTACCATACACAAGTAAATAATTAATTAAAAAAAAAACCATAATGGATTCACCATTTTTATCATTTCTCATTGATGCTTTTATACTGCTGTCTGATATCTCTATCTCTCCCAGCAAAATACGTAAGTTTCAACCAACCAATATACTCGCTTTACTTCGTGAGCAAGCATGCAAATAAGCATAAGCATATCGATAATCGAGTGAATTCACAAATGCTTTTGTATGCCAAATACCCACACATTTATCTGTCTCCTAATCTTTCGCATTGTCAGGGCACGCACCAACTCCTGGCGGGCTTCTGTCGCACCTGCATATTTCACCGCACACTTTGCTCACCTTGAAGTTTTAGTGTGTGTTGGCATCTTCATTGATCACGTATTTGATGATAGTATGACTTTATCGGCATGTCCGGCTTATGCGATTTATGTATGCTCTATAAATAGAGGTATAGCTAAAGTTTATTGAAGATGTAAATAAAATACGACTGCATAAATATTTTACTTTTGGAACCAATTTAGTGTATTTCCCCTAATATGGGATACATTTACATAAATACGGAATAAGTTGACGCACATCAATTTTGTGTCTGGCAGCTGAAATCGTGAAGTCATTGAAATTGGCAGTTTATAAATAAATAAATATAAATAAAGACGACGTCCTTTGCTTCGCCTGTCTATGCAGTATTTCATGATATCATAGATTGTACGAGTAAATGCTATAAAGATCAAAATTCAGCTACAAATATTGTCTGCACAAATCATTTTGGCATCGGGTATGGTGACTCTCAGAATATTATGTGAGATAACAGAAATATCCGAAATTTTTTTTATTATAGTATACATTATTGAAAGGAAATATATTTATAAATTAAGGATAATAAATGAACTCAAAAAATAGATAATGAAAACTTTCGATTAAAATATAATTAATGTATATATACATATCTTAAATATATTTAAATCACTAAATCAATAGACTAATTTATAAATAATACAATGAAAAGTTGATTTACTGAAAGTAACTATTTGATTTAAATTTATTTGATTATTAAATTAAATAGGTTCTTTAATTTGTGTTATTGTGAAAAAAATACACAGATCGAAATAAATAATAAAATATAAAGTACAAAGTATATTATCTTTTTAGTTGTCAATATATAAAATATATATTTAAAATAATTTTATTTTTTTATTCAAAAATTAATGCTATTATAAATAAATAAGTTTAAATTCAAATAATTAAATAACAATAAAAAGTTAATTTACTATTTTTTTTTCTATCTAGTTTTAGCAGTTCAAGCCCAATAAATCATTCATTCAGCATGATACCCCAAAGTTTGAAGCATACTGTCTACTGCTCAACAGTTGTAGAGGCACTGTTCGCTGCTTAGCTTAGATTGCTATAAAACGCGCGGCAGCAACGGCCGCACAGTTGGTTTGAGTGTGACTGTACAAAACTAATATTCAGTTTGCGAATTTCTCATATGTAATATGCATTTTATTTACACAGTATTGTTACATATATTATAATATACATATTTGCGATTAAATGTATTTAGTGTTTTTACATAATTGAATTTACTATAAGCTCGACATGTCCGGTTCGTTATAGAATCTAACTAAATTCTAAAAACTAACACAATAGACCGTTCCCGGGGACAGGCAATGCCATTTGTTGTGTCCTCCTGTCCTGTCCGCGTGTCCGCCCGACCCAACTGACTATGGCAAAAACTTCGGTCAACTTACGAACTTGGCAAGTTGGCAAAATTTTCATTTTCAATACAGCGTTTCATCGAAACTTCCGCTGACTGACGGACGGCGCCAATGATAATGGAGGGGCATCGATTGATTTCAGAGCAAACTATTTGCGTCGAACAAACTACGAGCCGAATGCGAATCGAGTGCCTCAGTTGGCTGCTGTTTCTGGGACGCCGTACAGTAAATTGTCCAGTTTCAGTTTGTTTATCTTGTCGGCAACGGGCGCCCCGTGGCCGGGCCGCCCCCAAAACGTTTCGAATGTGTCGAAGTGCTGATTGCACAGGTCGCGCTCTCTCTGCCTCGAGACGCTGACCGAGCGCCGCTTCTGCGATATTTGCACATTCAGATCGTGCAGGTAGCGCATGTCCGCGGCCGTTTGTATCCTGCAAGGATGTTGGTCGATCGCAGTTGATGCGTTGATGTTGTCGATTGTTGCATTGATCGATAAGTTGTTTTTGGTTTTCAAAGTATTTCGATTTCGATATCAGTTTCGGTTTCGGTTTCGGTTTCGGTTTTGCAAACGTTTTTGCACGGGGATACATAGAAGATTTGCATTATCATTGGGTTGTTTTGTGGTTCGGTTAGTTTTGGTGAGTTTGGGTTTGCTCTTTTGGTTGCTATACTTTCACTTGTATTACAATTGATATTTTCTTGCTGGATGAGCCAAAAGAAGTGATAGAGAAACCATTATAAACACAAAGATGACGCAATCATTTGCAAATTATTGTCAATATGAGCCTGGCGAGGTCAGGTCAGTTCAGCTCAGCTCAGCCCAGCCCAGATTTGATATTTTCGCAGAGCAAGCAAATGAGTAATGCCAACAGAAACGGAAATGAAGGTAATGCGGGTGCAAACACGGATCGAATCGATAAATCAGAAAATGAGACAGAGACACACAGAGAGAGAGAGAGAGAGAGAGACTGCTACATATGCAAATACAAAGACAACAAAGACTGCAGCAGAGACAACAGTTGGGGGCAGTCGGGAGACTAGCCTAACGTATGAGCAGGGTGAGGCGCTTGAGGCAACAGGCCAGTGCTCGAGGCGGGGCTTTGTCGCACTTGCAGTTGCAGTTGCCGTTGCAGTTGCAGTTACAGCTGCAGCTGCAGCACTGCAGCTTGCAGTTGAGGTTCTTGGAATGACGCTTCATGTGACTAATGTTTTTGATGATGTTACTGATGTTCTGCGCTTTGTTGGACTTTGTCTTGTGCTTGGGTGGTGCGTACCTATCATGGGAGGGCGTCCGCTTGGTCACGTCCGTGCTGGAGAGGCTGATGGGCCGGTGTAGTCCGCGCCGGCGCGCCAGCAAAGGCACCAGCTCCACGCCGCCTCCTGCGTTCTCCGCACTGGGGTCCGGCGTGGCCAGCGAGGTGCTGTTGGTGGTGCTGCCCGCGCAGAGGCCTCGCGGCAGCTGGGAGCAAGGCTTGTGGGGCTTGCACTCCTTGGCCGGGGATCGCAGGCCGCAGGCAGGTGGCGCTGGGACCTTTCGGGATGGCTTCAGTGGACTATTGGAGCTGTTGATGGCGGGGCAGTTGCAGGTGCAAAGCTCGCAGCAGCGCTGCGGCTTGGATGGCTTGTTGCCTCTGGACTTGCGAAATGTGTTCTTCTCAGCCGGAGTCACGGGATTGTCCTGGTCGAGCTCCTTCAGCATTTCCTTATTTGTCCAGCCCTACAATCAATAGAATCTCCTTCAAAACGGAGAGCTCTTCCAGCTTGTCTGTGATAATTACCAGCGATTTCATAAAAGTGTTGCCTACTTGCTTGGGACTGCGCCACGGCTTGCCCCCTGGTCCGGCCTTGCCCCAGGGCTCTTTGCAGGGCTGGAAGGGAGAGATGGCAAATGGGGTTAAGGAGATCGCCTAAGGGTGGACAGTAGCCGCCGCTCACCGGCTTTTCCAGCTTCGCCTGGAGCTTCTTCTTCTGGTTGGCCAGCTTCTCCTGGAGCGGATGCTCGCTCTCGCTGTTCACCACAATCTTGTCGAGCATCGGCTTGCCCTTGCAGGGCGGCGAGGGCTTGTAGCGCAGCTCAATGTCCAGATGCCCTTTATTGCGAAACGACATTGAGGGGTGCTCTTTCAGTTCGATGTGAATACTATCACCGTTGGCATTGTGGCCCAGGCTGACGCCGGGCTTGAGCGGGAGCTCGCGCTCGCAGATGGTCACAGTGCTGCTCCGAGGGCCGCTCTCCTGCAGGTGATGAATCGAGTGGGCGTGGGTCAGCCGGCCGCCCGCCCCGGGCGGGTGATGATGGTGATGGTGATAGACGGCCAGTGGATTCTTGTGGCACTTCTTCTGCATGGTGAAGTAGTCGTTGTAGCGACAAGGCTGCAGCGAGTTGATGCGATGGGCGGTCGTCTGGGCGGGCGGGCATGCAAAGGGGATACGCATTACATAAGCAGCGAGCGGCTGCAGCAACAAACTTACCACCGTGGGCGTCGAATGCAGTCCGGCTGCGGTGATGTCCTTGCGTCGCACCTCCACGTTGGGCGCCCCACCCCCTGGCCTGCCCCACGGGCAGTGCTGCAGAAACAAATCATAGTACTGCAAATGCAAAAAAAAACAAAAATAGAAAATAGAAATAGAGAGGGATGTTGATAACACTGGCTGTGTGTGGGTGTCCATTTATGGGTTTATGCCTTTATCGATTCACTCGCAGCCTATATTCGGCACAGCGGAGGAGCCTGGCTCGCTCTAGCCTGCCTCCGGCCTTCCGCTTGTTTACGGAAATTGACAATGCCCAAGCCCCCACAATTGTTTGTAGGTTGTTGTTATAGTTGCAAGGTGGTGCGGTTAGCTTTCCATTCACCCATTTTTATTTTCGCCAACTGAATTCCGCTGGATTTAAGTCACATTCAGAGTCGGCAGCACGCGATTTGGCGAACTGAGGAACTGATGCCAGTTAAGCTCAGTGACCGACAATGTTGCTTCCACTCCTGCTCCTGCTTCTGCTTCTGCCTGGCTGCTTGCCTTGATTACTTACGTATTGGCAAAGTCAAACTTGTCAAACGGTTTGTTGAACCAAATTCTGGCCAAGTTATTACAATTGCTTGCCGCAGGTCTTTGAACTCGACTCAAGTGTGGCTGCTGACGTGGGTGCGCATACTTTGTTCTCATGCGTAGACTACCCAGGTAAAATATATTTGATGTTGGTATATAACCAATCTACGCTTTCGGGCTTGCATAACAAAATAGTATTTTTGTCGTTCTATCCGCATAACGACTTTTTTAAAAAGACACCATGATGGCATTTTATCATTTGATGAGCCTTTCCTGAAAACTTCTTCTTCATCTATTCATCGAGATACTTTACCAACTACTGCATTTCCTAGGCTTAACTTATACCCGTTTAAATGCTGTTCTATAATATCGAAAATATATAGATACATAAGTGTATAAATAACACGAAATATGTCGATGTAATTTTGCTGTTGATGGAAGTTTATCTTAACTCCATCTGGAGGGTTTCTGTTGAGTTCGCTCCAAGTCTCAAATGCTTTGACCAGCTGCTTAACAGGGTTCTACATTTCATGGTTGTCATTAATTAGACAATATTTACTCAAGTGTATTTTTCAAATTTATTAAAAAAAGAACAGGTAAATCTATTTATGGGATAGATCTAAGAGATTCTCACACATTTTTGTTTATTTATCTAATTCTCGCTTATAATCGCAACTGTCAAGTGGGGATAAGTGGATAAGTGGAACCTATTGGGTAATCTGAAGTAGTTTGAGTCTAGAGGGGGCTGTAGATTTTAGAGGGGCTTCTAGATTCTAGAGGGCCTTTTTGAATTCACTTTTCACATTTGATATAGAATAGCTTACAAATAGTAGTTAAGCTCAGATAACGATAACTCAATCTGTTCTATCTCTTGAAAGGAATCTCATTTAAAAAAAAAATAAATTTAGTTTACTGTTTCATAAAAGATGGAGGGATAAACTAGAATAATTATTATTCGTCATTGTAATGTAAAAACTGGAAACTATACTTTTATAAACTATTTTATATATATACATATATGTATATATTAAGAATTGAATTATCTATGCTTGCACATAAAAAATGATGCAGCTTTTAGATTATCCTTTTGATTAAACATTTGAGGATCTCAACTGTAAATGATCAAACTTATGAGATTCTACCTCTAATACTATCAGAGGCTTATTTTTTTTTATATACCTACTTTCTATATCTACTATATAATATTATAAATTTAAGCGGACTTAATTGATCTCATTTCAGATGGTATTGGCTTAGATAGCCACTGCTATACCATTTCTACATATATATTTATAGAAATCTTATATCTAAAATAATCCCATCTAAATTGGAATTAATTAAATTTGATTTCACTTTCATCATCACGCTATGATTTTCAACGTGATGGGTATTATATATTTATATATATATGTATATTAAGTCGGGTTCTGCAACATTTGATTTGCACTTTTGTGGGTTACTTTACCTCCTGTTTATCCTTTTCCTTGCGGGCGTTTTCCTCGGCCTTGCGACGACGCCACATCCGTAGGCTCTCCTCGGCATTCTTGCGCTCGACCAGGCGCTTCTTTTCGTCGCACCACATCAGCGGATGTTGAATGTGGTCGTGGCAGAAGGTGCCCATCTCATCGCTGGTTGTCATCCTGGCTAGCAGCTGGAGAAGCGGAAGTATCGCCGCGCTCAGCAAATGGCGCGCTACTGAAACAGCGCCGTGGCGAACCCAAACCTTCGACATCCAAGTCGCGTTAGCCGTCGCGTCGCGTCGATTGGGCTGCGCTGATCCGTGCCAGGCACGGCGCGGCTATTGGGCTCAGCTCTGGGCCTGCCCAACCCCTTCGGTTGTCTAGGCAGCGCCGCTAGCCAGCCAGTTATTTATAGTCTAGGTTATGGCGGTGCACAGACTGCACGTGAGCGGTGCGCGAATGTCCTTGAAGTTGTGTGTTAAGTCAGGCCAGGATTGCATTTCATTTGCGTAACTCGCTCGCTCGCGCAACATTTAAATATTTTTGCAGTTAGGCAAACCGCCTCTGTTTGCGTTTTGCTAGCGCTTCGAGTGGATCTGGGCGAGGCTTGGACATAAAATAAATTTATTTTATTGTAAACTATGCGAGCTGTGGTCTACTGCTCCACTGGGGCCCAGTTGCCCCAATTTAGCCCAAGTCGCGTGGCTCTTGTATTAAAATAGAAAGTTACCAAAACTATCAATATTGGCCAGGAATTCAGAGCGCTGCAATATTGCGTGCGCCACTTTATTGTTAACGTTAACCCAATTAAGAAGCCTCGGCTAACTTGTTGATGTTTGCCTAGCTGTCGAGCACAGCTGTGAGCCCCGCTGTCTCCTGCCCCCATGTCAGGACACACACACATAGAAAAGTCTGTCTCTGCGTTGGCTGTTGGCTTGGTCCAGTTGTGAGCAGTGAGACGCCGTTGGAGTTTTGTTGTTGTTTTTATTAATTTGATTTATTCTTTGATTGACTATCGGTTCGTTTGCTTAACAAAATTGCATTTATTCAACTATTGAAATATACAAATTCCGTAGTATAATATAATTATCATTATCAAAACATAGTCAACAATATTTGCACATTTATTCTGACCAATTACCCGAGCACCAAACTGTTTTATCAACTATGCAAATGGAGGCTATCGCTAGTGAAATGGGATTCGCTTAACACGGCTGTAAAGGTGCCTTTGGCTTAACGAGACTACTTCGAAAACCGAAACGGGGACTCAAATTAGTTCATAAATTACAAAAGTTCTTAAAATAAATTTACAATTACAACTCAATCAGTTTGACAAAGATTGCTTTCTGTTTTTGTGATTTGTTGTTCACATTGTGGGCACAAAATAAAAACATATTTAAATTAAGACTGGGGCAGCATTGTTTAAATAATATTTCATATCTTCCTGATTGACCTTAACAACTATGGGCGATTATATAAGAATGCTGTGCATTTCATGCTCGAACGGTTCAAAGCTCAACTCAAATTAAATTATTAAAGAAGATACAAGAAAATATAAAGGATCGAAGGTATATATAAATTACAAAAGGTTTGTGCTGTCTGAAAGGGTTTGCAGTGCCGATTGAACCATTTAGGCATGAAATGTCCGACGAAACAAATCAACAGGTAATATATAAGTATATATATAAATTGAAGGGTAATTCATTAGGCACTGTTCTCTACATAAATATCGTTGCTTGCATTGACTAATCAACATTTTCATTAATTCAAGAGAATAACAAGAATTGTGCGAATTGAAATTTCCCTCAATATGCAATTCCGAATTTCAATTGAACTTTCTTTTGTTTTTTGTTTTTGTTTTTTTCCCTTTTGTTACTTGTGTTTTCCTTAACAAATATATAAAAAATTCAAAAGATTTGCATTTTCTGCTTATTAAAAACTCCTTTCAATGTGTTCATATACATATAGATGTGTGTATATATGTATGTGTAAAGTTAGTAATAGAGTTAATCGCTGTCGGTCTGTAAATTTGTTACATTCTTCTGTGTACATTTGATGCAATTATTTACAGTGTCAATAACAATGCTTAAAAACTAAATAATAAATTTTTTTGTTTTTCTTTTCTTTTTTTGTAGATTTTCTAGTTTCTTTTTACAAATGTTTAGTTGTCGCTCCCATTCGCTGACTTATCTAGCATTAGGTGCTGCCTGCCTGCTTCTAACTTAGGACTATGTATACATATATATATATATATTAATTTGTATAGATGTCTGGTGGACTCTACTTCATGCGATTGATGACTAAGTCGGCGACGACCTGGAGGCCCTTCTGGTAGGGCGACTCCGTCAGCTCCTGGGCCAGCCGTATCGCTTCGTTGCAGTGCTTCTTGGCCAGGAAGCGCGTCTGCTCGAGTCCATGCGATTTGTGAACCAACTCGAAGGCCCGCTCCACATCGCCCGGTTCGCTGAAGCGACGCATCACCATCGGATTGAGCTCGGGATACTGAAAGCGAAACAAATGGGAAACACGAAACTCGAAATGAAATAAGCCAATATTATTCAAACTTTAGTAATCGGCGGAGCGCCACCCTCGCACATAGCTTTGAGGCTCGCATGCCAATGCAAACAACAATGCGAGACGGATTTGCATTAGCCCGTCTCTATGGCCCCATGATACGCATGGATATGGCTAGTTTTACTTTTTAACTGGCCAACTAAGCTGACGGGTGATCGTCACTGATTAGCGGCTGCTTTGAACGCACTGCACGTGCGCGTTTACCACGCTTCGCATATTAAGCTGCCTCGAAAACGCCATACAAACGCATTTCATGGCACGCGATGCGACACTCTCAGCTCGCCGCATGATATCATCGACGCACACCAGGTGGACCGAGTGGGAAATGCACATAGCCAGCGCTGTGCAAACTCAGTTCTGGCCAATTAACAGCAGCCGCCGGCCGTCGGCTGTCCGCCGTTGTTTTCACATGATTTTAAATCATGTACTTGGTAGTCAGTCAAGCTGTTGTTGGAGCAATAAGGAAGTCTGTCGGCGGCTCACCTTTTCGCATGCAAAGAGAACCGGCGCCGTGGCCAGGCCCAGTTTCAGGTCAGCTGCCGTCGGCTTGCCCATCTGCTCTGTGGAGGAGACGAAGTCCAGCATGTCGTCCACCAGCTGGAAGGCCAGCCCGATATTCCGTCCGTATTGAAATGCCACCTCCGCCACATTATCATCGGCCTGGGCGATAACAGCGGTCTGCCAAATATCAAAATCCAAACCGAAATTAAAACCAAATTCAAGACAAATATTTCAAAGTCAGTCGCCGGCCAATCAACTCCAGCCATCGACCACCCAAATGGGCACAATGACAAACGCACTCGGCCAAGTCGATTTGTTTGCTATTGCGAGTGCAGTGGCAACTGCAATTTGAAATGCAATTGCAATTGCCATGGCGATTCGAGTTGCATGTTGATTGCCGGGCTTACTCACCGCCTTCAACGCATTGGCAATCAGCGATGCGGTCTTCCTGTATGTCTTGGTCAGATAGTGCGCGAAGCGCTCGTTCTCCGTTTCCCTCGAGCCCAGCTGCATGAACTCTCCTTGAACCAAATCGGTTAAAATCTGAAATCAATCAAAGGTAAATTGTTTAGTTCTAAGAGAGCTTGAATCAATATATCAAATACATAGGCCTATCCCCCTTTATTGCCTGCAAACAAACATACTCTGCCCAGCTTTGTACACACATATACAAAAACTAAATAGTTTTCTGAATCACATGAATAGAAAACAATAATTGTGAATTTTGCTGAGCTTTGCCAAGCGAGGCTATTTTGCAATTTACATAGATTCATATGTACACAGACATTTGCGGACAACTTCCGCATGGCTGACTGCTCACTGTTCAAATGCAAAGGGCAAACACAGATGTGCCAAACGATCTAAGCAAATACAATTTCATTGAGAGTCTGGGCTGTCGCTCAACAGGATGGATGTTGCCACGCCAAAGATAAATGTATGAGCATTGAGATGCTCATGCGAGGGCAGCTCGCGGCGTTACAAAAATACATATATCTATCTAGTAGCCTAATTTACATTATAAATTAACCATCAGTAACTATAATACGATTCGACCTGAGATTCTCTGATTCCTTTCGCTTAAATATACATTTGATATCTGGCTTACACTATAAATTCAACTTCAGCAACTTGTAGTTCGATCTAAGATCTTTTGATTCCCTTAGCATACTTAGAGGTTAACTGTGCATCTATCTATTTAGATATCAGGTTAAAATTATAAATTATATCTATTGTGATGCGATCTAAGATTGCAATCCTCTTATTCCATTAGCATATTTAGAAACTATATTATATATACGTAAATATTTACATTTTATTTAAATCTAAGCTAAACATAATCTAAGCATAAAGCAAATATATTATATAGTTTTAATTATTAGCAAACGTGTTGCAATCTGATGATATTATACACCCAATCATGTTAGCTTTGACAGCATCAAAATTATGAGTAGATTTTGTACAATGGAGGACAAAAGTATTTTGACCACACATTGAAAAAACTTAAACCGCGTATTTCTGCATGCTGAGAGAGGTAACGGTACCCATTATATTTTTAAGAGAGAGCAAATATTAAAAACATTAAGTGACCAAAATATTGCATTGATAACATAATTAATTATTTTTCTATAATTATTTGCATGGCAGATTATCATTCTTTGGCTGGACAAAAGTATTTTGACATTCCTTTTCATATTCATTTTCGGTAATAAATAATATTAAGAATCTATGAGGTATCAGTAAACATGCTATAGATATGCTTAGACAGTTCACTACGTATTAAGTAACCCTCGCAGCATAGCTGCCATTTTTATTTGCTCAAGAAATGTTGGCGCGCCCTTCGCTTAATTTTGAGATTTTGTTTGCCATCTGCGATACGCGCATAAGTATTTTCATTCATTCATTCACTTTTGGCCATTTCGCAGTCAGCTGCCAAAATATTGGGCAAACACGCGCCAGGGCAGTAGTATAATGTCGTCTATCTTTATCTGTATCTGTATCTGTATCTGTATCTGATTCCATATTTCACACAGATCTATAGCATTGACAGATGTATGTAGCTGCATAGCGATGTGGGCGCTGATTCGCCAGTTGGAGTAGTTGTTGTTGTTATTCGTTAAGGAGACCAAGGTGAGAGCCGGAGACATAGCTCGGGCTCTAATACGGCCATAGTAGCTTGGCCAAGTCCCAGCCAATTGACTTCGGTTTATGCACACTTTTCGTTCGTTTTTGTTCGATTTTTGTTCACTTTAGAGTTTGCCTTAGAAGTAAAACAACATGTTGGCTTTCAATGTTAACTAATTAACACATGCGGCCGAAATAAGTGCGACTGGTGCGTACAAAAATATATATATAAAAAAAAAAACAACTAACAAAAACATTGCCATTGACAACAATAACAGCAGCAGCAACAACAATAAAATACCAACAAATTGCAGCTGAAGCCTTTTAAGCGTTTGCTGACAACATTTTTCATTTAGCCACAAAATGAGTGCAAAACTTTGATTTGATTTGATTCGAAATCAGTTTCAATAAAACATATTTCCACAAATGCCATTGTGAACAGGCCTTTGTTGTTTGAATGTCATTGAAGGAGCGGAAAAAATGCAATTTAAAAACTATGTATATTAGAGACTAGTACAAAAGTTGCCACTGCTGCTGAAACTTTACTATCTATTTCAAGGCAGGAATTGAAATAACATACAATGTATATGTTAAATAAAACGATTGAGCCATTGAGGTGGCATCAGGCTTTTGCTAATGTGGGACTGTACCTTCGCACCTTAGACTATGTTCAGTCAGGGCAAACACACTTACGCTAAGTCAAACACATATTTTAGTTTTTGTCGTTAAAATTATTTTATGGAAGCCGCCATAGCTAAACGGTACACAAAGAATCTATTTCAATAACGGACAGGTTTAACCCACTATATTGAAAGAACAATAAATTCTAATTTCGGGCGGGACAGCCACCAATAATATAATGCTGTCAACGTCTTTGAAGCCGTCGAAATTATTCAGACGCGTGTTCAGCATATCAAATAAAGCTCGAAAAATGATGTCGTCGTAGATGAAAGAAAATGCTAAACAGACCAAACATACTGCCAAGAGAAATAAGAAATCTTTAACTGAATAACAAAAACAGAAAAGCAAATGAGAATAACTATACTAAATCAAATGATAATCCAGCTGCTTCATTGGGCTTATATTCATACATATCGTTATATAACGATTGGACAGGTTAATAGAATTAGAATATTTTAGTCGTCTGATGCCAGAATACGTGTCTTAGTTCAGGTCTTGAGAGCCTTGGGAACTTCTGAGCTAGAGTTTTGCGAATTTTGATATCATTTGGTGGATATCGTCTTCAAGTAGAAAGTTGAATAGTAAAAAAAAAACAGAGAAAGAAATAGAGGAAGATATGCAGATATAGAAAGAAGTAGAGATAAACAAATAAAGATAAAGATACAGATGCAGATACAAATACAGATACAGATACAGATACAGATACAGAGATATAGACATAGATACAGATTCAAATTCAAATAGACATTTAGGAAAAGAAAGAGATCTATATAAATATATACAGAAATATATACTAGTAATTAACAAGCTAGCCATAAGTAGTTTTCATCTCTCGTTTCTTGACATACAGATTAATCAATCATCTGTCAATAGTATGTAAAATAATGTATATTATATGATAATCAGTAGGAGCTTCTTTTTCATTCATTCATTTCAATTTTTTTTCTTTGTAATTCGAAAATCTTTCACCGAGCCTGTGTCTAAGTCTAAGTTAAGAACTGGTTTTTGTGTTTGTCCAACGCCGCGTATGCTTAATACTGTGAAACGTCTTCGATAGGTAAACTACTTAATATGCTAATATACGATACTTTTATGCATGCTTTTGGTAGACATTTCGGCATTTGATATTTTTTGTAAATATCTGTAGCCGCTCCCTTGTTGCCAACAAATCAGATATAAGTATCTGCCTTTGATCTCGTCATCTTTGAAAATTGTGACCACAAAGCAAAAAACCCGAAAAAAAACCTTCCAATATGTACGACTAAAAAATACCCGTGAAACATGCAAGTCGATATCATCTTAAGACCCCGAAATGCTAAACTCAGAAATTCGCAACATTAACGGAAGCCACTGTACTTAAGGAACTTCTTTACTGATTACAGATACAGCAAATATACAAGTTCCATTTAATTTGATTCTAAATGTACAGGGTATATGGTGTGAATGATGACGGAATATTTGAGGCCAAGCTGAGCACGGTTTTTTGTTTACTTTGGCTATTAGCTCGCCGCTCGATTGTATAAGAGACGATTCATTTTACCGAGGTGGCACACTAAGGCCAGCTCCAATTTCACTCTCGCGTCTGAAAGTGAAATTGTCAGCTGACTAATTTGAAGTTCATAGAAATCACGATGCGAGAGTGATTTGTGTTTGAGAAGTCGTTGTCATACATATGGAATCTTGGCCATGTAATATGGGCGAAGGTAATGACTAGGACAGATGAGGTAACTCCCTTCCTATATAAAACGGCCAGATATCCGTTAAAGCTTGTCTGTGTGGAACGTGAATATGAATGTAAATTGCAAAAAGTGAAGGTAGCGATGAACTCGCGATTGGGTGCCCTTCGCCTTTGCCTCAAACCATTCCAGGGTTACAGGAAGTAAAACCGAACGGTCCCTGTGATTTGCGGCCGTAAGCTGAACAGGTTTTCCCCTATGGAAACAAAGAAGCGCTGGACGATGGGAACAACTTTCTTAATTTAAAACTGTTTACCTGCCGACTTTTTGCCAGTTTTAATACTCGTTCGTAAAATAAATAGAGTATATTAGTTGTGCAGCACTAAAAACTTCATTAAAATGAGCATAGACTTGTGTGTGTAGTATAAACACGAAAAACAGAAATTCTACAGTTACACAGAAATGAATCCTGAAATTTTGAAGGTTGATCTGATGATCAATCAATTTTATTTTGTTGGTTTAGGAACGAGTACTGTGCAGTCGGCTACAGCCGATTCCAGCGTTCTTAGTCGTTTTCTTTGTACTCTTCTTTTTTTTTGTTTGCTTGAAGCGAGTGTGAAATCCAACTGTGTAAAGCCCACGGGTTCGGGACTTTTTTCTACCGGCTTCTCGGCCGCAGATTAGCATACTTGCAGAAACTAAAATATATACAGTAGAATCCAGTTATAACGACACTCAAGGGACCGTCGTTATACCCGGAAGGTGCTATAACCACATAAGTTTGCTGATAAAAGTTAGTCTGGGGACCAGAATTTTCGTTGCTATAACCGCACAAACTCTATAAGCGGAGTCGTTATAACCGGATTCTATATTAATAGTCTCTAGTTATACTGACTATAACAATAAAGACTTGTTGAACAACAAGAAGCGTCCCCATATGACAATAGTTTTAAATCAATAATCTAGTTTGCAAGGTCGCAGAGAGAGAGAGAGAGTGGCATCTGCATAGCCATAAGCTGGTGCTTAATGTATTCCAAATTTGCTATAAACCTGCAGTTAATAAAAGACGAAGTAAGATTTATGTATGTATGTATGTATGTATGTAATAAAATCGTTAAAAGGACGGCCGACAACCATAACGAGAAACAATTGATGAATGGGATTTATATAAACCACAACATGATTGAACAACTTTGATTGAAACTTTTCTGTTATTCATTGGATTAAGTAACAGATTTGTATTTATAGACATTTATAATATCGGTGTTAACTAAAATTTGGATCATTTAAATAACTCAAGGACGGAGATACTCTGCACCACTAACACCCTATATTCGATAATTAATTTAGAACCGTGTTCATAATAATAATAGTCAAGGCGTAATACAAATTAATAAATTTGTAGTTAGCGATAAATATACATATGTAAAGCATAATAAATTATGTTAGACTAATGTTGAATAATTTTTTAGCTGTCATTACTATTATTGTTTTAATAAAGTGCTAAATTGGTTTTTCTCTCTCAACCTCTAAAATGTTAAAACATTATTTTTAAATTGATAAAAAAATATGCTAATCTAAATATGCGTATCAAATTGTTTTCAATCAGACATTTTCATGAACACAGCTGTATATAACTGAATATAACTTATTTAAATCTGACAAAGGCTTCTTTTAATAGTCCAAAATATATTTGAATATAATTACAATATGAATTCTTTAAATTTATATTTGTTGTTTTTTTCTTCTTCTTTTCATATGTAATTCAAATTCGACTTTGGCCTAGACCCAATGCTAGACAAACTCACCTGACTCAAGACGATCGTCACATCGTCGCTGCGCAGGCGCGATATCATAATCGAGGCAATCGACAAAATGTAATCACCAGCCATTGTGACCTGTAAAGACAATGCCAAAGATGGAAATCGAGCGTTATATATAAAGACAATATATGGACAAATGTGCAGTTAACGATTTCGACAAACGCCGCCTTTGGTGGACAAGTTAATGACATGTACAAAGCAGTCGACTTAATCAACACACAAAATGTTAATTATTTATGCGGATTGATGATTTTGAGTTGAGGTCTTGGGATGAATAAAACTAATTTGAAAACTTGACGAGATAACGGAAAAGCGCCGCTCATTATTGAGAGTTTTTCGCTGTTGGGCTTTTCAAATGATGCAACCTGTTGACAAAGTCTTAACGCGGTTTAATTCGTTATACTATATTGACAGAGTTGCAGAGGCGTGAAATCAGTTGGTCAAGCAATTCATGTCAGCTGGCTGGCATTTGGTGTTTGGTGTTTGGTATTTCGCGTTTGGCATTTGGCCAACAACAACAACTACAACAACAACAGCAACAATAATTTGTATTTGAACTGATTGCTTACCTTCTTGTGATTCCACAGAGCATTGACGCTGGGCTTGCCGCGCCGAAAGTCCGACTGATCGATGACATCGTCATGGACTAAGCTGGCCGAGTGCACCATCTCGGAGAAGAGGGCTATCTGTCGTTGCTTGTGTACTAATTGGCTGTCAAGGGTACGTCAATGGGTAAATATGAATGTTTAATAAGTATGTAGGTTGTTATAATTTGGCTTTAATTGTTGTTCATAGACGACAGCGGAGAACGCGCACATTTCGCAAAGGCCCGCTAATCATTACACTGCTCAACAAAAGTGTGCCACAGCCAAAGCAACTTACTGTGACTCGTTGTTCAGATGATAATTCAGTGCCTTGGCCATCAACATGGTCACCATGGGACGCAGCGCCTTCCCCTGCCCGTCGAAATAGTAGCATGCGATGGTGTCCAGCTCCGGCTGTGACGTGCCCGACTGCAGTAACTGCAAACAATTCATAGATCGATACACAAATTGTGTTAGGAAACTATTATTAGCTGCGACAATAATTAGCAAAAACTCGATAGAGTCTGGCAGGCGTTTCGAATATAGATACATTGTGTGCTGACTTTTCGCATACCCTGTATTTCTTGTAGACTAATTTAGATAGATTGAAAATAAATTCTTGTTTAATATCATTCGTATTGATGAAATCTTTGATGTATACATGATATAATCTACAGTTCTTTTTATCACTTTGTTTGTTTTTTTTTTCTCCATATTTTTTTGAACGGAGCTATTTCATTGAAATAGACTAATCAAATTTTGTTTTTGACCAATTAGTTTTATAAATTTTCCATAAGTAAATATTGTTATTTATTTTAACAATTCAGTTAAGGTTATAGACCGTAAAATTTAACGATCTAATTTTTTTGTTGATTCTCAACACAGGGATTACGGTTACTGTAGTAAAAAACTCATTCTCCATAATGAAAACAAAATTTATTGAATCAAAATTATTTACACTTAAGTGTCAACAGCTATAGGGTATAAAAGAATTCCTGAAATATGGAATATTTCTTGACTTGACAATGTGACGCATTTGCTGGGTTCTAATTCTAGTCAAATAACAAATTTGGTGAATTTCGGAATACCTCATATATATAAAATATTAAAATATATGTGGGCTTACTTAAAAATAAATTAAAAATTTAAAAGTTATTTTCGTGAAATATATGAAGGAAATACCCATGCCATTACATTTGTGGATAATGTAAAAACTCTACTTACATCTCGTACATCATCGTAGAAATACTTGAGCTCATCATCGAGTATTATATATGGATCAATTTGTATTTCTCTCACGGGTCCAGCCGGCTGCTGTGTGTGCACGGAGCTGTGTGAGCGAAGATTTGGCGGCTGGCTGCAGCTGTGTGAGGTTTGCTGTTAGTTCAAAAGAGACACAAAAAAGAACAGACATTAGAATACGCTAGAGAATTCTCCATAATTGCAACAATTATGAATAAAGTGTGAAAATTACAGGAGTAAACAAGCGCTGGGGTAAACGGCCATAACTCTCGCAGCCTGCGGCAAGAAAACATGCTGCACACGAATACAAATAGAAAAAAAAAATTGTTTTTGAGTCACTTAACAACTTTCAATTGCTGACGGTAGCGAGTAGCACTAACGAGTTTTTGTGCTGCCCCAAAGCGAATGGCGGCAGCACGAGCTACTTTTCGGTTTTTTCTGACACTTTAAATAGACGACAGCTTCAAGTTTAATAACTGGAAAATTGCACCATCAAATCGCCAACAAATGACAGTTTTATTATTTAACACCCACACTCCCAGTACGGCTCTCGAACTCTAACCTTGTCGACTGCTTCACATTAGGGCCATAAATTTACTCAAAACAAATCAGCTGAAATAAGAAAATGGACGTAGAATTAAGACGAATTTGGTAAACTGCAGGAGATAGGAGATATCCAGGAATCCTTAAGTTTTCACTTCTTGATCAAGTTTAAGAAAATGAGAAAAAATACCAAAATGTGCCTACTCTGTAGACTGACAGTCCGAGTTCATATTGATTCTGTTAATCGTATTTAACAAGCATGAGAAGGCATGGATGACCTCGTTAAAGTATTTTTGAAAAGGATACCGACCTGTTTGAAGAAAAAGAGAAAACAAAATACTTCACACGATGCGCATTGTCATACACTGAAGCCATGGACAATAAAGAAATGATATTAATTCAGTTAAACATATTTAACAAGCTTGAGAAGGCATGACCTCGTTAAAGTATTCATGATAAGGATGAATGAGTCGGTATAGACATTTTTCGGTATACTTGTTTGTGTGAAAATATAAAAAAAGGAAGCATACCATTGTTTACGTAACGTACTATAACACTTGTTACAGAACAGCAGTTCCAAATCGTGTCACAGTACCGCAAACTTAAATCATTTCTCGGAAATCGAAGTACCAACTTTATTGAATTTTTCCATATCTAGTTTAGAGAGCAATACAAAAATAGGAGACGTATTATATCATGAAGACCTCCTTACAAAATTGATATTCGGCTATTACCAACACAATCTTACTTGGAATAATGGTATATGTGGGAGAGGGGCTGATAATATAAAAACAAACAAATTTATTTGCTACCTATTTCTATTTTATATTCTATGCCCATTTGGATTTGAATTACTTTGGGATTCGCCATTCTTTATCGATCGATAGCTGTTGATATATCATTAAGTATGTACATAATCATTATTTGTATAGATTTGTCAATTCCCTGTTGTGCAATAGCTCATAGTTACAAACCAAGCATACTTAGAATCTTCTGAGAATTACAATACCTAACATATTTGTTAAACATTCTAATTCTTATAAGATTTACAATTGTAATTAACAAGAGCCGCCTCTTATGTACTTGTGTGCTCCTACAGCTAGTCTGAATTGTGATTAATTGTTATAAGCTTCGTTTCAATTTGTAGAAGATAATAAACATGTACTCCCTACTTTCATTCTTATAAGATTATCTACATACATAATATATTGAATTCTTTCTTATTCTAAAAATTTTATCTTATTGTGATTAATTCTTATAGGCTTCAATTCATGTCTTTTAAGAATATATATGCATTTTATAGTGTTTCTTATTATTATAAACAATATTTCTAATTATCATTTATTCTTATAAACTTATATTTGATGCTTATAAAAACACATACACATACATACTCTATTTTAAGATATCTCTTCAATTATGATTATACCGGAATCACATATCCTCTTATAACGTAATATAAAATTTTATATTGCTAACTGTCTAACATATATTAGATTCTTGTCAGATTATTAAAGATCTCTTTCTGAGCCATACCTAAATTACTAAAGAATTCCTCTGGAATCTTGTAATATTTTATTATTAATACTAGTACAAATATAATTGTTAAGAGTTGATAAAAATGTAATAGATATCCAAATATTGTCTACAAATATTACATTATATATGTGTCTTCATATTATGAGAGCCCTACTTCTCTCGCTTATTGATCATGAGCTTTGCTTCCTCTGAAATGGCATTATGCAACAGTCTCATTTGTATGTACATCACTCGTCTATTACTGAGTATGTGTGCTTGCTTCTTGTATTTGCCAGTCAGACGTACAGTCTGTCAATAAAAGCGGTGCGCATGTAAACACGATAACATGTAAATTTTATGTTTCCAGCTGTCAACAAAGCGCGCAAAGTTGCGGCTGCTGCTTCGCTGCTTCTGCTGCGGCGGCTGATGAACGGAGGCAGGTTTTACTACAGGCAGAGCCAATTGAGCAGCAAATATTTGTGTTGGGTTATGCGATTTGATGTGTTTTGGCTGGTGCTGGGCGTGGCTGTTACGCACGCTGACCCAGTTGCATGCAGATCCGATCCTGCCATCGGTCAGCAGCCAGCAGCAAGACAGCCAGACAGCTAACAGCTAACAGCTTTACAACCCAAAGGCCATCAGCATTGGCCATAAAGTTTATCGCCCTTGGCAGCACCTATCTTGAGAGCATCATAAACATTATCATAATTGATGGTCTTTGGTGCACGTGTGGACTAGCACGGCGCATCAACTGGTTCGATCGACGATGATGGCTTCTCATTGACGTTGTAAAATACAAGGAAAACACTAAATATATAGATATGAATATATATTGTTTTTTCGTATGCGTGTGTGTGTGTGTGCATAAATAAATATTGACCATCACTTGCCTTTGTGTTCGTTCATTGAAAAGATCTCGCTCGCATTGGGCCTGTAATGACCCAGTTTCATATTAAGTAAGAGTCCGCAGACACAAACACACACACATATACATATATACACATACGCAGATACCTGTGCATGTGTCATAAATATTTTCGAAGTTTAGCGGCTTTGGAGTAGAAAGCGATCCAAACTTGACTCGAGTGTTACAACATCGACGCATCAAATTTAAAAAGCCAATTAAATTCAGCTCGTGAAAAGTTTCATTTTCAATATGTGCGTTAAATTAAAATTAGTACAAAGCTAGCTACTTCAATACACACACACATGTAAACAAATCAAATAAAAAAAACAATCATTTCTTTTCTTTTTCTTTTCATTTCTTCAATTTTTTTTGGCTTTCAGGTTAACAAACGTGCAAAAATGCATTTAATTGTGGCCACTTTTGCGTTCGCAAACTACGTTGAATGATTTATAAATTTTTAAATGGTTTTTATGGTCACTGGCCAATGACCAAACTTCCAGCTCGCCTTCCAGCTAGCCAGCTAGCCAGGCGGGCAGCCAGGCAGCCAACCAGCAAAGCAGACCGTCAAGAAAATGAATAAATAAATAGGTGTCCAAAATATTTGCGGATATCATATGGTTATGCATGTCTCGGGTATTTGGTAATGAGCTTGTCACAGACCTCTCCAAGTCCGCTTTGGGAATTTCCACAGAATTCTTGACACTGCCAATAGCATAATTAGTTTTCAGCCTCAACGGTTAACGACTCAGATCGGCAAGTTTACAACTGCAACTGGTTTTTGGCATTGCGTGTTGCAGACAAAAACTACAACTACAACTACAACAACAACCATAGCAACAACCACAGCAACAGTTGTAGGAAACACAATTATCGTTGCACTTGACTGCCAGCGGCAAGCAGAGGACTTTGACTGACTTTGGCTGATGCATTGTTTACATAATCGGAGAGAAATAAATGGTATAATGGTATAATAATGAAAATATTAAATAATAAAAGTAAAACAATAAATATGAATGGTATAATAATAATTAGAAAATGGTCTACCAACGTGTTGCTTAGAAGATTATATTGTATATAAATATAGATATGAATAAACACATAGATCCATTTTTCAAAAGGAATTTCTAAAATGAACTTCTACACTAGATAAATAGTTAATTAATATACCAATATATCAAATACATAAATAAATATAATTATATATGTATGTATGTATATATATCACTTGAAAATAGTTCGAAAAAAAAGAGGAATCGCTGGAAAGAAATTTATAGTGGAGTATAAATAGAAATAAACATATCTCGGAAAAGGCTCAAGAAATCACAGATTTAGATCATGGAAAACATACATACAAATATAGTCCAACAACTGAGAATCTTAAGTATTAATTACTATAGGAAACAATAAGCATTGTATGAAAGAATAATAATCCTATTTTTTACAACTAAGAGTTAATCAGGTTAAGAGTAGTAAAGCTTTTACGAACATGAAAAGCAGCAATGGACTTTAATGCATGCGATATAGCGAAGGATACTGTTTGATATAGTGTTAAGCAACTGTTGGAAATATTACAACTCGTTTTCATGGCATATTTAATATCACTAACTATATAACATATCGACTTCACATCTAGGATTATATTTTTTGCACACTGAACTTAAAGTTAGCTCCTAGAGACTTTGGAATTTGCTCAAACCCCCTTAGACTTCGTTCGGACATGGAAAATATGGGAAACCATATATGGTTTGTGCTGATACATAATAGATATTTTTAAAAATACATCTGAAATCATCTAGATTCTTATAAGAGGGTCAGTATTTTAGTTACAATTGTCTGATTCACTAATTTATTTAAATTTATCTTATTTGTAGGAAATCAAAATCTTTATTTTCCATTAGCATTAGCGATTTTAACTCTATGGCAATAACAAGATTGCTAGGAGTAAGCGTCTATGGATGGGTTCGACGCTCTAATGGCAAGACAAAAGGCTAATCAATAGTTGAGTCTGCTGTTGGTAAGTCAAAAGTTTTTTTTAAATAGTTAACATACAGTTAACAAAGAAGTTTGAGTCCATAAATCATTTTAGTTATAATGCATAATTCACCATTTTTAGAAACTCCTCTTATAATATAATAGAAAGAGTAAATAATAGAGACGTGAATATATG